TAATGAAGATATTTCAATATTAAATGATAATATCGTAAGAATTAAAATTCCAATTTCTGTTGATTTAGACTGTGAAATTGTTTGAAGTAATGAAATAGAAAATTTACAATCACAAAAATCACTTTGTGTAATTGAAGGATATATAAAGTCTTTTAATTCAAAATATTGAATTACTCTTTGAATAATAAATATTTCTTCTTCATGAGTTCGTTCTTTTGAAAAATTAAATTTAATACATTCAAAAAATAATTCATCAAAATTAATTCGTTCAAAAATCATTAATAATAATCGTCTTGATATACTTTCTATTTTATTTATATTCTTTTCTTTCTTTTGTTCAATAAATATATGAAAAACTTTCATAAAATCAGGATATTGATTTGAAATAACACCATATGTTTTATTTGATAATATATAATTAAGATATCCTTTAATTACTCCAATTATTTGAAAATGAAGAAATTGCATTTCTGTATCAAAATTAGCTTTTTCTTCAAGTTTTTGAATAAATCTTTTTAAAATACTTCCCATTTTAATAAATGAACTTATTCTTAATAATCCTGGTGATGTTATATTAGTAAAATCTAATTTCATTAACCATCCAAATGACTCAAATAATTTTATTATTTCATTACATGATGTTCTAAATATCTTATTAAACATTTCTTCTGTTACGTTTGCATAATGAAGAATTTCATTTATTTCTTTGATTTCTTCCATTAATTTACATATTACTCCACATTTTTCTGATTCTGGGTCATTAATAATTTCAGATGATAAACAGAGTTTAATTGCATTATGTGAAATATCAATAAATCTCCATTTTAATGATTTATCTGTTCCAAAATACCAATGAAGTATTGTCCTAATAAATGTAAAACAATAATTACTAATCCCAACTAAATACAATCCATTTGATACAAATACTTGTGAAAATGAAACTCCAAGAACTGACTTTAATGCATCTAAAGATGATAAAATTATTGCTTCAACAGAAATATCTCCCTCATCATATTTCAATGTATTTTGTAATAATTGTTCTAATGGAGTATCTTCAAATAATGTTTTAATAATTTTATTTCCATGTGAGAATTCTTGAAGTTTAACAATATATAAATTAAATATGTCTCTATAAATTTTAGATAACATAAATATTGGAATTTCATTAGGATCTTTTGTTTGTATAATTTGTTTAATTTTTAAATGAATGTCATTTAATTGATAAATACAACCAAAAACAGTTAAAAACAAATATTTTTTCTGATGACTATATCTTAAACTTGTAAATACTATATCATTTAATCCTATTAATATCATTACTTTATATAATAATTCATTTTTAATTGTTGTAGTTGGCATTGTTTTAATTGATGTCATAAATGTCACTAATTCATTAATTAATGTATTCATTTGTTCTAATTGTATTGGTGCAGTAAAATAAACATTAATAACTCTTTGAAAATTTCTAAAGATAAATGTACTTTTGTAAATTAAAACACTTAATGACTTAACATCCATAGAATTTACAATAACACAATACATTCTTTCAAATAATGTCTTTAAAATAAAATATGTTTCTGTTATTTGATTTAATGGTCTATTAATCTTTGGAAGAGATTGTAATGATAATTCATATTCCATTGTTCTAGACCTAATATTAGAATGTATTTTATCTTTATTTTCTTGTGCAATAATAAGTTTATGAAATAATTCTTTATGTCTTTGAAATACTTTATCAATATCTTGTTTTTCTTTTGATTTGTCACTATAAATATTGTAATTTGTTGATAATTCAAAAATATTAGTATAAAATTCGTCTTTCTTGAGTATTTCATTGATATAAGTAAAAAAACTTGGTTCATTTTTTTCATAAGTATTATCTAATGAATATTCTTTTATTACATCTATACAAAGAATTTGTGTAGGAATTGCTATTTTTGATATTATCTTCATTTGCCTTAATTCTTCAATAAAATAAAGTTCTTTTCTGTATGAATGGTTGAAAGGAAATAAGTCTAAATTAATATTTAATGTATCTTTATTTCTGAGAAATTTAAATCTAAAACCAATATGAATTTTTAATTCTTCTACAAGTGCTTGTTCTGTAATTGAATTTGTTTTACTATTTTCAATAAACTTCTTCATCCTATTTTGTGTTTTTATTTTCCATTGTTTAAATACTTCATTCGATAATATTCTAATTGAATTATATATTGGTTTTGTATATTCATTTTCAAGTTCATTTAATCTTTGTATTGGATTTCCTTGATATCCATTCCCAACTTGATAAAGTTCTTTTGAAATTTGACGTGACTTAGTTGAAATGATAGAAATGAAGAAACAATAAATTGTGAAGAAACAATGTACTGTATAAATAAATCCTAAAAGAAGTAATCCAATAACTTCATTTTTATATTTGTCAAATGATTGATTATCATCTTCATTAACAAAAGATTGATTTTTAGGTATAATAAACACTCTATAATAATTACTTTTATCCTAAAAGACATTTTTTTTTAAACAAAAATAATATAATACATTAAATGGTATTGAACAAACTGATATAATTGTAATAATAAATATAAATGATCATATAATTCTGAATCTTTATTACGAATATATTCTATCCATTCAATTACATAATTTGTTGCTAAATTAAGTGTATTAATAAATTCTTGAAAGTGATGTCTTAATTCTACTATCATTGTTGGATCATTTATTTCTTTTATTTTATCAATTTTTTCAACCATAGTTTGAAGACAGCTTGTTTGAAACGACGGTTGTTCCATTTGATTATAATAAAAAAGAAAATAATAAGTCTCTTTTCAGTTATTTCTTTTAAGTTCATTCTTTTAATAACAAAATTCTAAAATAAAATGTTATTCTTAATTCAATGAAATTTTCTTTATTATCCATTGTTGTGCTTCTGCTGTCGTTTGTTTTTCATATAATTCTTGTTGAAGAATATCCTCTAAAATATTCTCAATTGTTGATGGTGTATATCTTCTCCAAATAGTCTTAAAAATAATTTCTGCCAATTCCATATTTCCTTTGATCAATGATTTGTGTAAAGCTTGAGAACAAAGTAATTTATAACTAATAGTAAGTTTGTCTAAAGGGAAAGCAAGGAGTCTTTCAAGGAAAATAGGAACTAAATCATCAGTAAGACTGTCTAATGCTTTATTAAAGGATGAAATAACAGTAATGAAAATTGCATAAACAATTTGTTGATCTTTATTAAGTTGATGTTTTTGATAATATAAATCAATAGGTGTAAAAACTTGTTGAAACATTACAATAACATCTAATTGTGGAAGGTCATCAGTAATAATAATCATATGTTGTAATAATTCATAAGGTTTTAATTTTAATAATGGAATTATTAATGGTCTAAGCCAATTTGTTTGATGATGAGTAATTGATGTAATAAGTTCATCAGGAATAGAAATAACTTGATTTTCATGTGTAATTCCAAGTAATGAATATACTTTAGCAATTTTTTCTTCAGTAGGATTATTACATAATTGAACTGTTACATCAGCTAAATTAAATTTTTGAGGTTCCCATTCTTTTTTTGTTGGAGTATGTAATAAAATATGTTCTGGTTGTATTGTTTGTTGTAATTCAGTAAAATATGTTTCAACATCTTGAGGATTCCATCCATTAGCCATACTTATTAAATATTCATGATTATATCGTTCTTTAAATCTTTTTATAGCATATTCTCTATATTCAGGTTTTGTTGAAAGGAAAATAATTAGAGGAAGATCATTTCCAAGTCTATCTAAGAACCTTGTGATTAATTGAGAATTTAAATGTTGAATACCAACTAATGTATTTTTAAAATCATTTAACAGAAAATATAACATTCCTTCTTTCATATCAGTTGAATATTTCATTTTTTCATTAAATAAATATTCATTAAATGATTTTAATGAATTAGAATAAAATCCAATAGACACATCTGGATTATTCCATGGAACAATAGATGATACTTCATAATTCTTTATTGTATCTACAATAATTGGATTTTTCATTTTTCTTATATTATAAATGTACATTCTATGGTTTGTTAAAATAATAAGGAATCTATAATAAAAATGAATTTTATAATCTTCATTTGGAAGTTTAATTACTCCAATTTTTATTGGAATAAGAAGATTAGACTTTGAATCAATTAAATAAATTTCTCCATTTTCTGAAATCATTAATAGATCTGATGTTTGTGGATGAATATAATATTGAACAACTCTAAAGTCATTTGTTTTAAATGTTCCAGATGTTGCTTGAACTTCTAAAAGTTCATTTGTAATAAATTTGTAAAATTGAATATTTTGACGTTGAATAATGAATAATCCATATTTTGACATAATAACATTAGATGCAACTCCTTTTAATTGAACATCTTCTATATTTTGAACTAAAACAGCGAAATGTTTTGCTTCTTGAATTTTATCTGTTTTTTCACTATTTTCATTTAATAAAACAACAGAATAACTATAGATTTGTAATATATCTTCTCCAACAAAGAAATACATTTTTGATAATTCAGGGTCATGAAATGAAAGTTTATTATTGTTTTCTACAAAAAATGTATCTACTGCACTAATCCATTTATCTTCTTCTTGTTTATACATATCAAAAAAGATTTTTCCAGTACAATCTCCCCTAATAATGATATTTGTCTTTTCATTAAAAATAGAAAACGTTCTTCCTTCTCCTAATTCATCAAATCCACCAAATGTTCCATTTGAATTGTAATATCTAAATGTTCCATCTTGTAAAACAAAGAATGTAAATGTTTTATTCATAATCATTTCAATCAATCCTTTATTACAAATATTATCAATTAAATTATCTGCATATTTCAATGGTTGAATTTCTTTAATATCAAGAATATTCATTAATTTTTTTAAGTTCCCTTTAAATTTCTATGCAAAACAAATGAAAACAAATTAAATCTTAAAACTTGATTAATAAAAAACATTTAGTTTATTTTTCTACTCTGCAATGACAACATCAAATCCAACACCTCATGTTTACCAAGAATTAGATATCCATCGCACTATCTCTGAAAGTGTTGAAGATTTAAATATTCGTGAAGATATTGATGAATTAGAAATATATGAACATATAAGAAGAATTAAAGACCCAGAACATCCATCTGTCACTTTAGAACAATTAAAAGTAATAAGTCCTGATCTAATTAGTGTTGATGATAAAGGAAATCATATTATTGTCAAATTTACACCAACAGTAGATAACTGTACAATGGCAACTTTGATTGGTTTGGCTATTCGGACTAAGTTAATGAGAATTCTTCCACCACGTATTAAATTAGACATTTATTTAACAGAAGGAACACATCAAACTGAAGAAGATGTTAATAAACAATTAAATGATAAAGAAAGAATAGCAGCAGCACTTGAAAAACAAACATTACTTCAGTTAGTTAATAAATGTCTTGTTTAAAAAAGAAGGAATAAATAAAAAAAAAATTAAAGAAAGAAATAAAGAAATAAATAAATGATTAATTATTCATTAGTTTTTTCATTAATTAAAAGAAAATAAAAGTTTTAAAGAAAAAACTTAAAATAAATAAAATTTCAACAATGTCAAAGTATTTTGTTTCAAGTCATAGAGGAGAAATTCAAGATCTTAGAGAAAAATTAAATAGTAGTAAAGATGATGTTAGAACAGAAGCAGTTAAAAGAATTGTTGCAGCAATGACAGAAGGAAAAGATGTTTCTATGCTTTTCATTGATGTTTTAAAGTGTATGCAAACAAATAAATTAGAACTCAAGAAGTTAGTTTATTTGTATTTAATGAATTACTCTAGAAGTCAACCAGAACGTGCTATTTTAGTTGTTAATTCATTTGTTAAAGATTCAAGTGATCCTAATCCACTCATTCGAGCATTAGCAATTAGAACTATGGGATGTATTAGAGTACAAAATGTATTTGAATATTTTATTGAACCACTTGGAAAATGTTTAAAAGATAAAGATCCATATGTTAGAAAAACAGCAGTACTTTGTGTTTTAAAATTATATTGTATGGATCCAGTTAATATTGAACAACATGGATTTCTTAATACATTAAGAGATATGTTATTAGATGATAATCAAATGGTTGTTTCTAATGTTATTGCAGCATTACATGAAATTGGAAATAATGGAGGAAAAGAATGGATTATTGAAGAAAAGATGGTTAGACCATTATTAAGTGCATTAGATGGAAGTAATGAATGGGGACAAGTTTATATTATGGATGCTATTGCTACATATATTCCAAAAGAATCAAAAGAAGCAGAAAATATATGTGAAAGAGTAATTAATAAACTTACACATAATAATCCATCAGTTGTTATGGCAGCAGCAAAAATTGTATTAAAACATTTAGAAGTAATTTCACCACAAATTGCTAATATTTATTGTAAAAGATTATCTGCACCATTAGTTAGTATAGTATTAAGTAATAGTTCTAAACATGATTATGAAATTCAATATATTACTCTTCGATGTATTAATTTAATAATACAAAAATATCCACATTTATTTAGTAATCAATTAAGAACATTTTATTGTTCATATGATGAACCAATTTATATTAAAATAGAAAAATTAGAAATTATGTTAATGTTAGTTAATGAAAGTAATGTAATGGATATTCTTGTAGAATTAAAAGAATATGCTCTTTCAGCTGATATTGAATTTGTTAGAAAATCAGTTCAAGCATTTGGAAAATGTGCATTAAAATTAGAAAAAGTTGCAGATAGATGTGTTAAACAATTAGTTGAATTAATTGAATTAGGTCAAAATTATATTGTACAAGAAGCATGTATTGTAATGAAAGACTTATTTAGAAAATATCCACAAAAATATCTTCCAGTAATTGCAAAATTATGTGATAATTTAAATACATTAGATGATCCAAATGCTAAAGCTGCTATGATTTGGATTATTGGAGAATATAATCAACTTATTACTAATTCATTTGATCTTCTTAATGAATTTATGAATTCATTTGCTGATGAACCACTTAATGTTCAATTAGCTCTTCTTACTGCATCAGTTAAATTATTTATTCAACAACCAGACTCACAAGATTTAGTACAAAAAGCATTAAGTGAAGCATCTAATTCAGCATCATTTGATATTAGAGATCGTGCACATATTTATTGGAGAATTTTATTTGATCATCCACAACAAACACATGATATTATGTTAAAAGAACGTGATGTCATTACATTCCAAACTCAACAACTTCATCCACAAATTCTTAATTCTCTTATTTCAGAATTAGGTGAATTATCTGCTGTTTATCAAAAAGTTCCAGCATCTTTTGTAGTAAAATTGAAAAAAATTGGAGTAAGTGCTAAATTAGATGAAGAAGAAGGTGGAAGTGAAATGAGTGATCTTCTTTGCTTCGATGGAGGAAGTTCTAATCTTATTGGAACTGCTTCTAAAAATGTTTTAGACTTTGATGAAGATACTTCAAAGAGAAATGATTCAATGAAAGATATTTTCTCTATTGGAAAACAAACTGTTCCAATTAATCGTTTAGTTGCATTACCAAAAACACCAACTGATATGAAAGTTGATGCTTCATTAATTTATGAAGGTGGTAGTTTATTCTTACAATTAGAAATTACAAATAATAGTCCATTAACAATGACTAATTTCCAAATGCAATTTAATAAAAATGTTTTTGGATTAGTTCCTGGTCAATTAAATATTGATGCCATTCCTCCAAATAAACGTTGGGGTGCTTTACTTCCAGTTGGACTTATTCCTCCTGAAATTACAACTCCTGTTTCTTCTCGTTTAGAAGTTGCTATTGCTAATTCTACACAACAAATTTATTTCTATGTTCTTGAAATGCCAATTGGTTTATTAATGAAAGAACAGTCTCAAGTTGATATTGCTAATTGTGCTAATTTATGGAACTCTCTTCCAAATACTATGTCTAAAGAATATAAAGGATCTGGACTTGAACTTAAACTTCAAAAATTATCTACTTTCATTTTAGTTGCAACAAAAAAGGCTAATGACAAAGAACTATTAATGTACACAATTAAATTCCTTAACGACATCGACGTTATGGTTGAAATTACTTCTACTTCTAAAGGATATAAAATCCTTGCTAAATGCATCGACAAACAATATTTATCCTTTATT